GCGAACGGGTTGGAGAACATGTATTTCATGGAAAAATCCGAAACAGTTCTCTGGCCGTGTCAACCCTGTGATCTCGCTGAAGGGGAGCCTCTGAAATTCTAAACGTTATCATACTGTTACAGGAAGGCGCGCACGTCTCCAAAAGAATTGATTATTCTATTTTGGTACGTGTAAGGAATACTGAGATCATGAAGAGAACTAATGTTTCCGGTGACTGGTATTGCCAGGTTTGAAGGGATAATATTTTGCCATGGAGATCAACTAAAAACAACGCTTCTGCATCTTAGGTTAACAGAAAGGCGATAAACTGAATGCAATATTCTTCTTTATTGAACCACAATAATGCAAAAAGATTAAAACATCAGTTTTTGAATTTTATCGTTAAATTTCAATTGCTATCAAAAAATGTGTAGGCTACTACACACTCGATCAACCCACGCCCCTTGTCTGAATACAGATGATCGAGCAAGTGACGAAGAGGCCGGGCCGTTTTTGTTTTAGGCTAGGTCGGTGGCAATGTCTTTATCAACCACCAGGAAGGTCCAAAATTTCCGGGAAAAACTTGAGAAGTTCACAGCACAGCTGCGCAGCTCAAAAGCAGTCTGTGCCTTCTTGAATACAATTTATTTCCAAAGATAAAACCTCTTTCAAGTCATCACTATTGTTTGGAAAGGAAACAAAACAAGAGACGAACTGTCTATATAAATTAATAATAGATGGCTCTTTGGGTCGGGTCAAGGAAGGCAACAAGAAGACGAAAGAGAGAGCTTTGAGATTAGCGTAACCCGTATCTCTTTTGCTTAATATGCCGGTTTTTTGTTGCTTTTCCGTTGCTTATTGATGTCATTATACATTAGTGAAGAAATTTAGAAAAGGGCGGATTTTCCGCTTTTTCAAGTTCAATTGATGAAAGAAAATATCGAGAAAAAAACCTGTAACTCGGAGAGTCTCGCGTGGGTTAGTAGCGGTGACGCCACTGAGGCAACTTACTTCAGCAAAGACAATGCGATTGCCCAACAAGTATTGTTCTTGTTTTCCCATTCTGGCAAACAATCAAAGGTTACACGCAACCAGAGTGACAGAGGGCTCGCCGTGACAGACAGGAATACTAGCGTCAAAACAAGCTCGATTCTGCTCGCGTCTGCTCGCGGAAAAAATAAGGGTGCAAATATTATGGAATTCTGGTAGACGCATTAAAGTGGCATCAGATCTGATAGTTCTAACAATGAAGGCACTGTTTCCCGTCCAACAAACAACAGTAAATATTTGTGGCATCAAATTGATGGCCGTCAAATGATTTCCTTTCACTGTGGGTGACGTTTTGCAGTTAGCGCAAAGCAAAACATTTTCTTTGGACTTTTTTTCTGGAGATATTTAAAATTGTTAAATCATAATTACAGTTCTAGGGCTGCATAGTGTCATTTTCCACTGATGAGTGATTAACTTTCCCATTGTACAAGTGACTGACGCATAAACTAATCATGTTTCATCTAGATTCCTTTCTAATTTAAAACAAGCACGGCCTTTCTATCTAATTTTCAGCACAGTGCAAATTGGAAAGGAAACCTGTTTATTTCTTGCTCATAATGGACTCGAATTTCGCTCTGCAGTTTACTAATTAAGTTTGTGGATGTACTTTTTAATGCATTATGATGTTGAAAGCTCCAATTACAGCTAAAGGCCCCTCTCTAAATATCACATGCTCTAGTGCCCCTCGCTTGTGTGTTTATAACCTATTTACAGCTCAGTTTAGCTTCACATTAAAAGCTTGAAGTTATAGTTATCCACCTCAACAGCAGTTAATACAGCGGTTGATAATCATCGCCGTACCCGGGCCTAAGGAGGTGGAAACCGAAATAACCGTCAATTGTTCACCAACAATAACAATGTATAACAATGAAATAGAGCCTTGTTTTCAGTTGAACTTCGGTTTTATTCGAAGTCAATTTAATTTGAACACCCTTTCCTTTCATGTAACAACGAAATAAACCTTTCCTGTTGTTCCAATTTATCTATGAAAAGCAAGTTGCTAAACTATTCAACTAAAAAGGGTCGGTTCGTTTTTGCGGATTGTAATTAAAAGCGTTGCAAATAAGCTTCGGAGGCCGCATACACAAAAGATAGCATAGTTTATTAGTTAGTCGTAAGTGTCGGACGACTTTCGAAAGGATGCCGCAGTTTTATAAGCTAAGGAGTAAATAGATTTCTGTTGCGCGCTTGCACGAGGACGCATCAACCTTGAGCTGAGAATTAAGTTATTGAAATGAACACTCATTCGCTACTGACTTCGATATCTCCGAAATTGACACGCGCTTTGTCGATTTCAAATGAAATCGGCACTTTCTCAAACATTGCATGTTGTCGACGTGAAGCAATAAAGATTATAGATCAGTTTCATCACGTAAGGTAAAAAATAATTTGGGATATTTTCATGGCATTCCTGCATCACGTATTTTCAACAATAGGACTGTAGTGTGTAACGTGGCCTTTATAGGAACAT